CTTTTTTGTGTGTGTGATACGTGGGCCTCTCACTGTTGTGGCCTCTCCTGTTGCGGAGCACAGGCTCCATACGTGCAGGCTCAGCGGCCATGGCTCACAGGCCTAGCCGCTCTGCAGCATGTGGGATCTTCCCAGACCGGGGCACGAACCCGTGTCCCCTGCATCGGCAGGCGGACCCTCAACCACTGCGCCACCAGGGAAGCCCTCACTAAGCTTTTAACTTTAGTTATTATATTTTTTAGTTCCAAAATTTCCACTTTGTTTTTCTTAACATATTCTATTTCTTTGATGAGACTTTCTGTTTCTTTTCTGAGGCTTTCTATTTTCTCATTTGTTGCAAGAGTGTTCGTAATTGCCACTTAAAGCATTTTAGATCATGGTTGCTTTAAAGTCTTTGTCAGATAGTTCTAACATTTCTGTCATGTTCCTGTTGACAAGTATTTCCTTTCTACATCCATTTTGAAATCTTCCTGATTGTTGGTATGACCAGTGATGTTTTTATTGTAACCTGGTCAGTTTTGTATTATGAGACTCTGGATCTTATTTAAATCTTATGTTTTAGTTGTCTTTTTTCTGACATTATTCTGGCAGCGAAAGGTGAGTCCACTGCCTTGTTATTGCGAGTTAGAGGTAGAAGTCCAGGTTCCCCACTCAGCCTACATTGACACCCAGGGGGTATGCTCCTTGCTGCTGTTGGGTGGAGGTGGGAGTTCTTGCTTCACACTTGGCCTTCACTGACACTGTGGTGGGAATGGTTTTGTAACCACTGGACAGTGGTGAAAGTCTTGACTCTCCACTAGGCCTCGTCTGACACTAACCCAGCAGAGAAGGGGAGGGCCACCTCATAACTTTCAAATGGAGGCAGAAGTACAGCCTCCTCATGTGGTCTTTAATGACACTGTGTGGGTTGGGGTCATTACTTACCAGCAGGGATGAAAGTTCTGACTCCCTAGTTGGCCTTCCCTGACAGCACGCTGCTTGGGGTATTGTGGTGCCTTATTAAAGCCTTCCAAGAATGGAAGTCCACATTCCCTATCTGGCCTTTGCTCGTGTGGGTGGTAATGGGACCAGAGTTTCTTCTGTTACATTTAGCTGGAGTAGAGTGGTTGTTGTCTAAAATTTTTCTTCATTCCTAGGCTTCACCTTTCCTGATGTATTGGAAAGAGAGAGAAAGCTTGTAGTGGGGATTTTTTCTGTCTGCTTCTGTTGGTGTTTCCAAGTTATCAGCTTCTTCAGCTCCATGTCTGGAATATATGAGGCAAAAAGAAAATCCAAGGAACTTATTACTGTGTCATTTCTTGGGTTCCAAGGTTCCTAAACAGTCTGCTTTCTCTCTGCATGTTTCAGAGTCTTTTTATGGTTGTCTCATATATGGTATGCAGGTGTCCAAGGGGGTAGTTTCACTTAGTGAGAAGAATAGGGGAATGTACATCTACCCTATCTTCCTGGAAGCAGAAGCCCAAAGTTGTACTTTTAAAAAGCTTCTCATGAATAGATGTTCTCACTTTCCTGGCATCTGGGCTTCTGAAATATCTCCCCTGGTGCTGTCTAGAATTTTTTGTTTTATTGCCTGAAGTTTCACCAATTGGAGTATCATTTAAGTTAACCAGGGTTCTTCTGAAAAATTCAATTTATTTCTGATTAACAGGCCGCTGATTTTTCCAAACCACATTAAATACGAGTTTTGATGGGGGATAGGGCAGAGAAGAAAAACTTCATGTAATTTTGTAGCATGGAACACTAATGCAGGGAGGGCACTTTGGTAAAGTGTCCTAGTGGGTAACTTAGAGCAGAAATAAAAGCTATGGATATGAAGAAAATGCTGGGTGAAGGATGTTAAAGATAAGCACCACTGATTTTTTTGTTGTTGTTAAAGAAGATGTTGGGTGTAGGAGTTTATTAATTAATTAATTTATTTTTGTTGTGTTGGGTCTTCGTTTCTGTGCGAGGGCTTTCTCTAGTTGTGGCAAGCGGGGGCCACTCTTCATCGCGGTGCGCGGGCCTCTCACTCTCGCGGCCTCTCTTGTTGCGGAGCACAGGCTCCAGACGCGCAGGCTCAGTAGTTTTGGCTCACGGGCCTAATTGCTCCGTGGCATGTGGGATCCTCCCAGACCAGGGCTCGAACCCGTGTCCCCTGCACTGGCAGGCAGATTCTCAACCACTGCGCCACCGGGGAAGCCCCACCACTGATTTTTGAAAGTTTATTTCTGCCCCTAACAACAGTAATTATATAATATTTTCTACCACATGCCAGGCACTTTTGGTGTGTTATCTTATTAAGCTTCACAATAACTCTGTGGGATAGAAATTATAATCCTCATTTCACAGAGAAAGAGATAAGAGCAAAGAGTTTAGGTGACTTGCCCAAGGTCTCATAGATAATAAATGGAAGGGTCTGGATGCAACCCAGATCCGTCTGGCTCCAAAGCCCAGTTATGAACAACTGCAGAATATGAGCCATTTCCCTGACAGGCCTTGGGTTCATGGAGATGCTCTCTGAATTCAGGATGGTGGGCTGTGCAGGGCCAGCCTAGGACCCCCTCAACTATAGAGCTTATTGTCTTTGTGGAAAACACATTCTAGATCCAAAGCACTGATTTATAAACGACCAATTGAAACACAGCTCATTTATAATGTTGGAGCAGCTTGTATTTTTTAATCACACATAAGTGCTTCTCTCTCTCTTTCTTTTTCTTTCTCTCAAGGCTGCATTTCCATGTAAATTAAAGAGACGATCTGGTTAGCAATCTTTTTATTTCTCTTCCAGGTAATGACCCAGTATTTTTCTTCAGGCTCATCCAAGCTCTGAGGACTATTGCTATCATTTGTAAGATATTTCTTTTGGCCAAGAAACATTTTGGTCTATATTGTGCCATGTGATCTAATAATGGGAGTAATTGATTCAGTAATCACAATAGCAGGGACGTCAGGGGGCCATTTAAATGTGGCCTGTGCTGACGTGGCTGAGGCCTCATTGGAGCTAGGATCATAAGAGATTGTGTTTTTCATTTCCAAAGACAAAAGTACACTTTTCCCTCTTGGTATTATATGGATCATAAGAGATTGTGTTTTTCATTTCCAAGGACAAAAGTACACTCTTCCCTCTTGGTATTATATGGAAGAGGCTCCCAACACTTATACACACCTGGGAGATGGGAAACCAGACAATTGCGATGCAACTGGGCAAAGGAACAAAAACTTATCAAAATCTGATGAGCTGTGTTTTTATTCTAGTTCTGATTTAAAAACCCAATAAGACTGAGGCTGTATCAAATGGACTATATAAATATAAATTCAAGGGCTCTCATTCTGGGAGCAAAGGTCACTCACTGGAGTGTAGCGTACACATACAGAGGTCAAGGTCTCTAACAGCACTCAGGTTTCCCTGAGATGGAAATCCGGGCTCTATGGTTTTACTTCACATCTGGGGAACTTCTTATAGTCACACATATCCTGAATAGAGTTGTGAGGTTACTTTTGACAGTTTTATAGTTATAAAAAATAACAGAAATTGTTATCAACCTGTTGTCTTCTAGAGAAAGTTGGAAGAGTTCAGAGCAGGATGGAGAAGGGTGGAGAGTGGAGAATGAATCTGGAGATGCAAACAAAATATCCAGCAGCAGATTATTTTTTCTAATCATTTTGACCATACATGCCCACTGTCAAGTAAAATTCAAATACTATGAGGAAGAAGAAAGCAAACACAGTGCAATATCACCATTAACAGTTTAATAATCATTCTTTCATGAATCTCTCTTCATGTATATAAATACTATAAATCTATATGCATATGTAGATTTAAATTTATATTTAATATATATAGAAATATATTTCCATATATAAAAATATACATCTCCAGGCCCATATACTCATATGCAAACACACACACATGCAAAATTTTCTTGATTGTTACTTTTGAAAAATGGAGTCATATACAGAGTTCTGTATCTTGTTTTTCTCACTTTTCAGTATCCTGTGGAAATCTCTCCAAGTCCACTGTTATAGCTCTTATCCTCTCTCTCTCTCTCTCTCTGATGTCCATAATATTACATGGTATAGATGTATATGTACCTAAATTCCATCATTTCCCGATTGATGGGCATCAATTTGTTTAAAAAATTTGCCACTGAGAACAGCGTTGCAGTAAACATCCTTGCATGTATATCATTATGTATTGGTGCTTTTAATCCACATTATCTTTTCTGAGCAGTGGGATTGCTCAGTAGAAGGGCACGCATAGTTTACATTTTGTAGCCATTGCCAGATTGTTTTATCAAAAGGCCATAATGATTTATATTTCAACTAACACATATAAGAGATAGATGTCGCTACACTTTGTTGCCAGTCTGATGAACATAATGTGCTATGTCAGTGTTACATTATTTCTCACTTCTCTAAGAGTGGGTTTGAACATCTTTCCATATGCTTGTTGGCCTTTTGGATTAGCTGTTATCTGAATTGACTCTTCATATCTTTTGCCGGTGAATTCTTTGCCTTGTTCTTTTCAGTTTTCAAACACTCTTTGTAAATGATGTCATGAATTCACTTGTCATCCTTGTTGCAGGTATTTTCTAAATCTGTGACTTGTCTACAGTATGTACCTTGTTTTATTGCCTACAGTATGTACCTTGTTCTATGTTGGGTTAAGGCTATGTGTCGACATTTGGTATTTGTACTCTTTGTGTTTGTTGGCATGCTTGCAGGCTGTTTTGCTTTAAGGAGACATTCTGATTCATTTGTGTTAGGATTTTCTGATCCAGAAGAAACTTTCTCTAAAAGCATACATTTTGCACCAAGATTTCCAAGTCCTTCTTCCTTTGCGATCTAATTCACTGCATTAGTTGAGTATAAGTTTGGCTAAACTTTTGAGACACACAAAATAAAAGGGGCTTAAGCAAGAGAGTTTAGTTCTCTTATACATAAAGATCTGAGCTGTCTTGGTGACCTTGCTCTGGTGGTTCTGTCCAGTGCCCAGGCTCCTTATTTTTTTTTTGGCTTAGCTTTCCCGGAGATGCTGTCATCATGCTCATGACCAATTCTGCATTCCTGCCGGGGAGAAGGAACAAAAGAAGGGAAGAGGTGCTCCTTCTCTTTAAGGGCACAAACTGTAAGTTGCAAAAATCACTTCTGTTCATGTCCAGTGGGTCAGAACCTTATCACATAGCCTCACTTAGCTACAAAGTGGGATGGGAAATGTAGTTTTTATGCTGACTGGCTGTGTACCCAGGTAAAAATGGAGGATTCTATTACCATGGAAGCAGGGCAGAACTAGCAATTTCTGCACATTCACCAAGCACTACTTTAGAATCCCTCAGCATCTAGAAATCTAAGAGAGAAATGTTCCTCACCATGATCCTCTTCCGCCTTCTTGCTTCATCAACTCTCTATTGTAGTGCCTCCCTTCTCTTTTGCTTTATTGATAACTGAGAATCTTAGGGAAAATACGGAGGGACTATGTCAGCAAATATGCTTATTTAAAAACCTTTGTTATATAAACTCTCTAAAATATGCAGAAGTATATTAAATAGTATAGTGAACCCCTGTATACCCATCATCCAGCTTCAACAATTATCAACTCATGTCCAACCTTGTTTCACCTATAACTTATTTATTCACTTTGAGATTATACCATGTATCACATTCCAGCAAATACCACGTATCACATCATCTCATGCAAATACAGTAATCTTCAATCTTCTTTTTCTTTAAAAGCAGCAGACCTATGAACTGCAATGGAGAAAGTTAAAAGATCAGGAGATATGGTCATCAAGGATAAGCTTGGGTTATCATCCCATAGCAATCAATACTCTTCAGCTGGCCGGCTCCTGCTCATTCTTTAGGTCTAGGTAAATGTTACACACTCTTATTCTCTTTCATAGCACACTGTTATTTTCCTTTGTAGCATTTATCACAGTTTAGAATTATTTTGTTTACTCGTGTGTCACGTCCATCAGAATATAAGCTCCACAAGGATAGGGACTACCATAATGGTTGGCACATAGTAGGGCTTCAATACACACTTGTTGGAAGGAAAGAAGGAAGGAAGGAAGGGAGGAAGGAAGAAGGAAAGACTCACTGCGGGTTCTTTATTGGTTTTAGGATGGAGTAAGACTATAGAGATTACTATAATGTGGAGCCTGTCTGCCAGGGACTACTAGCTCAGTAAAGAAGACAGCCATACCAGCAACTCTAGCATTCATTTATTTATCCATTAAAAGAATATTTACTGCACATCTATTATGGGAAAAGGTCTGTGCTAGAAAGGCAGACTGTGATAATTGCAAAAACATATATAGACAGGGAGTTGGAGAGGGGAATTTTATCTGAGGAAGGCAGGACTCAAGCAGGGCTTTGAAGAATAAGTAGGAAGGACATTGATATGAGAAAGGCATTCTAGACAGAGAGGACAGAAAGAACAAAGGCCAAGAGGTTGGAAAGATTGGGACATATTCAGAGTTTTATGGTATGTAATCAGCAGTGTCAACTTGTGCTTTTTCTGCCCCATTTTAAAAAGAAGGATCATGGGAGACCATAGTAGTGCTGCCCTGGAATTACAACTTTTAAAAATGAAGAATTCAGAAATGAAGAAAGTCTAACAACTTTTTACTGAGCATGATCTCTTCATTCTCCAAGAATTATTGCATAAACAGATGCTTCTTTATTTGGATAATGGTTATATTGATAATAACATAATACCTCAGGGGAGAGTCATGGGAAATCAAAGTATATCCAGCCTTCACCAGGACCTGGGTCCTTGCCCAAGTGGAAAAGCTACTTGTGTTCCCATGTGTGGTGGATTAAAGATGGCCAAAAATTCTTTGCTATTTCTCCTATCAAAAGGCAGAGTCTAATTCTGTTCCACTTGAATCTGCGCTGGCCCTAGTAATGTTCTGGGACTTCTGCAGCTAAGTTATAAGAAGGCTTGCAGCTCCGACCTGGGTTTCTTGGAACCCAGCACTCTGTTGTGAAGAAGACCAAGAAAGATTGTGGAAATGTCTATGAGAAGAAAACCAAGTCTCCTGGGCAACAACCCTAGCTGAGCTCCCACATGGCAGCTACCACCATTTTGCCAGCCTTGTGAATGTGTTATCTTGAAAGTGGCTCCTTCAGCCCCAGTTGGGCTGTCTCAGCTAGTGCCACGTGGAGCAGGGACAAGCCATCCCTACTGAGCTCTGCCCAAATTGCACAATCATAATAAAAGAAATGTGTAGTTTGTTAGTTCTGTGTGTAAGCAATTCTGCTCCAGTGGCTGCTGCTAGTATACCACTCTGTTGCTCTCTGTACTACTTCTACCATAACCCTTTCTGATATGGACTGTAAGTCTCTAGTACTGTTTTATAAATTATGAATGCATTGTGAGTTTCCTGTAATAAAATTAGGAATATAGATAAGGAAAAAGATAAAACGTCACCCATCTTGCTGCCACCTACAGATAACCACCATTAATATCTTGGTGCATGGAATTCCAGGTATCTTCCTGTACATGTATTCACACACATATATTTTTTCAAAAGGAGCGTAACATACCTGCTGCTTTGAAACCTGATGTTTTCAATGAACAATTTATCCACATCTTCAACTACCAATAAATATAAATCTATAATCTTGTTATTAATGACTATAGTATTCCATCTCATGGAAATAAAAAATTTAATGATGCTTGCTGTTGGACATGAGTTCCTTCCTTTTTCATTCTTATAAATGATGCCTCAGTGAATATCCACTTGTAGCCAAATCTTTGTACACATTTGTTTTCTTTAAGATTATTCAAAGAAGTTGATCACCGACTCAAGGAACGTACACATTTTAAGGCTTTTGATCCAAACTGCCAAGTTGTCTAGGTCCCTGTTTTATATGAAGTGTACAGGTCTCCTGCTGGAATGTGCAACCAAGTGAAGGAAAAGATTGAAACTAGGACCACTTTGATAAGTGTGAAAATGAAGTATGTGTTGACATGAATGGATGAAATTCTTTATTGAATCCAAAACTCCTGTATCAAATCAGCAGAGTCTATATTGCACCTCTCAGATTTAATGTGGATGCATGGCTGAGCACTTGAATGGTGACCCTGAGAGAGCAGGGTGATATAAAGTCTGGGCTAAAAGAGAGATTATATGCAGCGAAAACATGCTCTTAGGCAGAGTGGCCAAGGTGCATATCAAATTGAAATCATGTTCAGACTGAAATCACGTGTGCCTTGTGAGGAGACTATCAACAAAAACTAAGGCAAATGTCCCCTGGGAGAATCTGTGATTCAAGAGAAGACGGAGGTGAAAGTAGCAGTTAAGGCCACAGCACCAAAGTGAGATAAAAGAGGAGCCTGAGAAAGTGTGAAGTAGACTTCTCGTCCCTCCATCTTCAAGGGAGCCTGGGCTCTTGGCCACTGCCAGTCTCACCGCATATGGCAACTCTGAACTCTGCATGTTAGCACAAGGTCTGAGAGGGCTCATGCTGGAGTGTGGATGTGCACATGGTTGAAACCTCTACTCAGTTTGTAAAAGTCAATATTCCTTGTTGGTAATTTGGTGCAAGCCCCAAGAGCTCATGAGAAAGAGCACATTTGCTTTGCTTTTCAACAGCAGGATAACCTGCACAGTAAACTGCTAAACCTGTAGGACTGTGACTGAGTCAGATCCTGCTGTGGCTAGATTTTCTTCTAGCTGAAGTCCTCAGTCCATTACAAACCAAGGGAATTCAAGCTTTGCAAGGGCAGTGGGACTAGGGCACCATTAAGTTCTCGTCCAGTCTCAAGGTTTTATGAGTCTGTGGATATATTTGTATATGATTTGATCATAAATGGAGAACATCTGGCAAGCCTAGGGCTTTTCCATGGCATTGATGGAGATGTAGTGTATGCATGTGGGTGTCTTTCTGTTGATTGGAGAGGAAAGGCTTCCCTTTGAGGCTGGAAAGCAGAAAAGCAAAAAAGAGAAACGAAGGAGTTAAGAGGAAAAGGAATACTTGAAAGTTGGGGGTAGAGGTCAGTGGAGGAAAGAGCCTTTGCCTCCTAGCAAAACGAGCTTAGTAATAGGGGGTTTGGGAGTGAGTGAAGCAGTTTGGCTCACAGCTGGAATTACAGGCGACCTCTATGTGGCCCCCAGATCCCACAGAGAGGTGATGAATTGAAGGGTTGAAGTGAGAAAGTCAGGACAGCATGCAGCAGAGGCAATAAAGCCTGAGTGGAAAGACTCTTGGCTTATAAGAACAGGAATTTGGCAGTATGGGGGGAAGGGGAGCTTGCCAGATTCCTATACCAACTACTGAACAAATGTTGTTAAATATTGCTTGCTGTGAATTAAACTTCTCAGTATAACTCTGTGCCAAGAATGTTCAACAAGACATAGTACATAGATATGCCCGGGTATAACACACAGTAAAGTAGAATATTCATAAAAATCTTACCCTGGGTGTTATGTGGTAGTCAAAGACAGTCAAAAGTAGGGGTGTGTGTGTGTGTGTGTGTGTGTGTGTGTGTGTGTTTTGCTTCTCAAGGGTTAGAGGTATATGTTAGAGGAGCCCATTAACCCAAAGCTGAGGCTACAGTGGAGAAAGAGAAGGCAGAAATCTTTCCTAGCAACGTTGATTCAAGTAACATTCATTGAATATCTACTGTACACCAGACACTGTCTTGGGCCCCGCGTTCACATAGATGAATAAGACCTGCTTTTTGGCCCTGAAGGGATGCACAGTCAGTGGGTGAGAGAATGGCAGTACAGTGTTATAAATACTGATAGAGGTTAGCTCAGGTGCTATGGGGGGGCGTGGTTAATCCACTCTGGGGATGATGGAGCAAGAGAAGAATTCTCTGGGATGGCGGGGGTGAATTAAAAGCTTTTAACCCCAGTGGAGGGTTGGGGGGTGGACGTTAACTGGGCCAGCCACTAGGGGGAGTGTGAGTCAGGGTCTGTAACTGAGAATTGAGGAAAGGGGATCTTGGTGACTTGTGGTAGCAGAGGGGAGATTGTTCCCCTTAAATAGGAAACCAGAGATAAAAGGAGAGTTCTTCTGCCTCATCTCTCCATTAGAACTAATGGTTATTTTACAGGCAAGTTGACAGATACTTGGTAATTCAGGGGAAATGCTGAGGATGTTCCTGAGGTGAGGGTTCTCACCAGTATGGGTCCCAGTGCAGTTAGGCTAGGGACACATGGCTGGAGACGTTGGTGGGATGGGAGACCTGGCAGCATGACACTGGCAGCAGTACATGTAACAGGGACCACAGGGAGCTCAGCACAAGAAGACTCCTGCTTCTCTAGGGACCAGAGAACATGTAAGAGATCAGGATGATGAGAGGGGTTTCAGTTTCCACATGTAATCTAACTTTTGTTAAAGTAACCCCATTTAAAAAATTGCTTAACCAAATTTTATTGCAAACTACCTATATTATAATAATATAATATCTTACATTTCATAGCATTCTAGCAGTGATTTTTTTTCATTTCATCCTTGAAACAACTGTGTGTATTAATTTTATTAGGTTCACTTATAAATGAGAAAAAGTAAAATCCAGTGCGCTAAGTTACCTCTTTAATGTCACACATAGCAAGTGACAGAGGTTAAGTGTAGAACTCTGTATTGTGATTCCAATTCTAGTCCTTTCTCAACAATGCATAATCCAGTTTCTATGTAAAAAAAAAAGTGCTTTATACTTTGTGAAGGTGGACAGTTTAAAATGATACAAAACAAACTCAACCCTTTACTGTGAAAGGGAAACATTTTTTAAAAACTTTTTTCAAATGATCAGCTGGTGGTTTAAAGTAACCCCATTTAATATCGTGGTATAACTAATTTCTCCTGCCCTGTCAGGTGGGTGGGTATTAATGGGATTGTATTAACAGAGATAATTTAAATGTCTCTGGCTGCTGCCTCCATCTACC